ACTAATTCAGAGAAAGACCTGGGGGTTACAGTGGGCCATAACCTGAATATGAGTCAACAGCGTGCTCTTGTTGCATAAAAAGAGAAAGGGGGGGGGAAAAAGCCAACAGCATACTGGGTTGTATTAACAAGAGTGTTATTTGCAGATCAAAGCAAGTGATTGGAAAGAGTCCCGCGCAGTGACAGAAATGATTAGTTGCCTTAGAGGTAATACTTATGAGGAACATCTGAAAGACCTAGGGTTGACGGAGGATTAAAATGGGGTTTTCTGGATGGTTGTAGGGGACGGGTAGGAGCTATGGCTTCAAATTGCAGTAGAGGAAGTTTAGGTTGGAGATTAGGAGCAGCGTTTTAATTATGAGAGTGGTCAAGAAATTATGGAATCTCCATCCTTGGAAATTTTTGTGAGCAGGCTAGACAGATATTTGTCTGGGGTGGTTTTAGTCAGGGATGTTCCTGCCTTGAGCGAGGACTGTACTAAATGACCTTATGAGATTCCTTCCAGTCCTACTTTTCTGTGATACTTAGGATCATAGTATTGGAGATGTAGCACAGCTATTTTTCATGATTATAAACGTGCAAAATGCAGGAAACTTTTGAAAGTATTTTTTACATCTGTTCTTTGACTCCTCATTTAGAATTATGTTCTGAATGTTGATATTGTTAATCTCTCATTAAATTAAGTAGATTTAAGAATGGCTGCAGTCAGACTGCCCAAAGTTCAAAGTGATTAGAAAACCCAGGACATGGCAGAAGGGGTTGTTTAGTTTATATTATTACTTCAACATAATGTCCAGTTATGTGCATTATAGTAGGAGCCAGAAAGCCGTGGATTCTGTTTGGCCACTTCATAATATGCTCTTTGCAACTGTCATTAAGTAAAGCTTGGAGAGAAGTTTGAAAGTTGAAATTAGGTATGGAGAGAGTCCATGCTGATACCTTTTTCGAAAGAGAATTTTCTCATGTGATCACAAAGTACTTTGACAGTCTCTTGATTTAATTTTTAATCTGTCTTTAAGCATTCCATTGAGAAGAGATGGTAGCTAAGTAGGCTTAAAATAACCGTCTTCTGCAATGCCCCAGAATGTAACAACTTTGGAAGCTTTTTGTCATGGAGTTAAGATGGAATGATCTTAATTAATGATCCTGAACGTGCACTAAAACCCTTTACCCAATCAACCCAGTGTTCTGCTTTTATTTGAGTGTGTGTCCTTGATACTGTTGATAGATAACTATGCATATAATTTTGTACTTGCATAATGTACCCAGAAAATTAACTCTAACTATTTTACCAAAGGTGATTTAGCCATTATAGCTTGATTCCAGAATCTTCAGTTTCAGACATGCGTTATCCCCCTTTTATTATTCCCCTGCCAACCATTTTGCTTCCAGTGCTTCGCTGCCTTGCAGCGTTAAGGCGTGCAGGTGGTACTACCTGAGGTGGTAGTGTCAGGATCTCCCACATTTGGCTACTGGCAAATAGATTTAGCACTCCAGAAAGATTCCCTACTGCATGTCCTCGTGGCTCTCAGCCAACATCTCCAGATAGTAAGTTTGATGACCTTCACTGTAGCCATACTGTGAAGTGTAACAATCTTTGTTCCCTTGCCCTTGATAGCCAGTCTCATCTCTGCTCCTTCTACTGGGCTTGGTGTATACTTACTTATAATAGCTGGATATTAGATACCATCCATGACACGTAAATGATCCAGTTTTTGATCAGGTCACCCCATCCTCCTATCCCTCCTTTCTAGTTTACTGACCAGTTTCAAAGAAGAGTCCTTCTAGAAGGCGGCGGCTGTGAGGAGGTTCCACTGGAACTGCAAGGGAAAGCATTGTACTTCTGCTACTTCCTGATCCTAAAGAAAATTGACAGTCCAAAACACATCTGTAAGAATCTCAACAAGTTAATAAGAACGTTAAACTTCAGTATGTTCATTTTAGGGAGCAGTATTCCTTCCTTATTCAGGGAGATTGATAGGCAGCTTTCAGTTTAGCTCGCTTTCAAATGGCAAGTACAGAAGGACAAGAATCTGTAAATTTAGCATATTTTTGGTTTCTTCTGGGCCAGTAAGTCTTTATGATGCTTTATGATTGTTGCTGCACACATCAGAATATAAGATATGCTTGCCTGCATTTTCATGAATAGCTACTAAAGGCCAACTGACATCAGATCTCAACTCAGCAACATGTATGCAGTTTCTTACATCCCTCTTTTTTGACTGTTAAATCATCCAGAAAAAATCCTCACTTCAATCCACAGAAAAGATTGCCTTATTGGAACTGTCCTAGACTCCATTCAGGCCAGATCTTTTCTTCCAGAAGAGGGATTTTCAATGTTTGAGACTGATGATCTTGGGGGAATAACTGGTAGGGAACATACAATTAGCTCCTAAAATTATTAAACCCAGCTATCTTTACAAACCACATCACACTATTTTCTCATTTGAACTAGAGATCCAAATATAGAACCAGCCACCATACCTACAGGCTGGGGAACTCCCTTCTCGTCAGT